TATCCTTTTAATCACTAAATCTTCACTGGAGTCATCTTCATATAGGTTTCACGTCTTAAAGGGGAAGTTAATGGTGCTCTCATTTACTTGAGCTCCCAAAACTAATAATGAAGTTCGACCACATCCTTGAAACCACACATCACGAACGTTGAAACTGCTCATTAACCTCATATTTTGGAAAATCATCTGGATTTTTCAGAAGTTCCTCTCCTTGATAAGGCGTTGATTCGGGTGAATTCTGTATATGAACCAATTCACAGAAATGGTGACAGCAAATCAGTAACTTACATATTACGCATTCTCAGAAATTAAGTAAAAAACGAAATAAAAACTAAGTTTGCGGTCAAAGGTTAACAGAAATTATTGAAAGTTCATGCAAAAAACCAACTAAAAAATATGTTACTGATATCTATTTTATGAAAGTCGTTGTAAGTTCCGTCGGTTACTGAAGGGCAGAAATAAATAAATGCAAGATTTACACAGAGTATTTTTACAGGTGAACCACTGAATCGGAAAGCCCTAGCCAGGAGAAACGGCCGAATCACTGTCATACTTAATCGGTGTATATCATAACTCAGCAGTTATAAAGTAAGAACGTCTGGGTGTTTCCAAAGGCTGTAACGCGACCAATAAAAGGAACTGGTCCTGAAATCGCATTGGCCTCTTAAAACGTTGGTTATCTTTATATATAACGGAAAATTTGTCTTTCATAAAGCATTGTAAGTACAGATTGCTTGATTCTTGACTTACTGCTGAATTCGCATCTGCGTAAAAAACTGAGAGCGAAGTCTCCATTAAAACTGAAATGTCAGTGAGATTTAAAAACCGTAACTCTGTTAGCTAATTCCCATACTATAAGATTTTAAAAACACTAAACTTCTTTGCGAAGTTTTTCATATTTCTCCATAATTTTTCCACATGCAAGCGCTTTTTTTGCTATTATTTTCTTTCTCTGAAAATACATATATTGGCTTTGGCTTTTTGGCTTTTTCCTGCGGTTACATTACGATTTGCTCGCAATAGTAGGATCTTTTGTTTTTCTTGCTAAGCCATCATGGAAGATTTTTTGCGTACTTATCTATTTCCGGTACGTGTCGATCCCCGTCAGATATTTTAAAAGAAGTGCCGTTTAAAGGCATTCGTGCCCTTCATGGGAGTTGTGGATTATTTTAAAATGAAGTCTTTTATCTGGCTAGGCTTTCTATTTATTTAACAACTAAGAAAGTCCTGTGGTTCTCTCAGGCATTGGGCAAAATCGTTCCATTGTGTGACAGTCTTCACTTGATGGCTTACTGAAAGCAATATCTTACAGTTAATATGGCATTAATGGAAGGTGTCTGTCTTATCAAGGTAAAAAAACTTCTCCTAATAGATGATATGAGAAAACAACTTTGAATCGTCCATGGTGAATGCTTAAACTGGAGAAATGACTGTCTGCAAAGACAGTTTCTACAATTGCTGTTTAACTTTTGTCAGTGAAACAAATAACTCGCTGTTTAAATTATGTTGTCAACAGAGTTCGGCTGTTTTAACATGCACAAGGACCAGATTGCATCAGAGCAGAGGAACTAACGGTAAATGATATAAGGATTTTCACTGTGCTGCATAGCTATAATACCTGAAGCTTTGCAAGCCGTGCATAAATAAGTGCTTAAAACGATAAAATCTTAGTGAAGGGCAATGATGGTTCGTGTTATGAAGTAGACTCAGTCAGGCAAAAGTTGTTAACAATTTTCTCACGACAAACACTTAAGATGATAAAACGTTTTTGGTAAAAACGGCCCCAAAGATTGCTGCAGTGCTATGCAACCATAACCTGAATGCACTGTGCCGTTCAACTTTAACTGGTGACACGGCTGGTTTTTTCTTGGCATTCGAGGCGTTGCCGTTTCTGATGTAGTAGTCCCTACACCGATTAATCATTGGCGCATAAGTTTACTTTATTCAGTTTACAAATGGCTACGATGATTCATTTTGTTCAGAGAAGGCCGCTTTGGGAATTTACAGTGATTCTTCTAATTGATCTGAGTCAGCCAAGAAGGAAATAAGTGAACTTGTTGAGGCTTCAAGGAATATAAATCCCAAATAGAGGCAAGATTCAGAAAAGAAATATGACGATCTCAAGATAAAATTTACGTATTCCCTAAAGAGATCGGTAGCTAAAAGAGATCGATGTTTATGCTGATTTATCTGATTAGGAACATCGTAACATCACTGGAAAAAAAGAAGCTTTATATACTACTAGACGTCAGAAGTACATGCGTGGAACAGAAATACGTTAACGTCAAAGAGAAAAAAAAAATAAAATACAATAAAAAAAAAAAAATAAGCAAAAAATTAACTTCTGGGAATTTTAGGTCTGCCAGAAGTCACAAAATGCTTCAGACGAAAAAGTCAGACGCAGCCTTCACCTTTCGTTAACGTTTTGGCGCTCATAATAGCAGAATTCTCGGTAGTAAATCGCAGGTGCAAATCGCTCTTTCGCATAGAATTTTATACGCACTCTACAATCTCTTAATTGCTGTACTCATCTTTTTTGCACTCGTTGTAAGCAGTACACTTGCTAACCCTTGGCAGCAATCCAACGTATGGACGGGAGTCCCGGAGTGTTTCGTACTGCGGAATTTAGTCCGACTTTATTATACATATATATATACGTTCTCAAGTGGCCTCATCTTAGCTACACTTTTCCTGGATACTACACTCACTCAGTTTAGTGAAAGTGATGGGCTCTCATTTAATAGTTATGCGCAGACGATTTAATCGCTGATAAAAGTTTACTTTTTGAGGAGAAAGTAAGCGGCCGTACAAGTTCTGGGAGGCCGCCGATCGACAGCAGTGGTATGTGTGTGACACCTTTTGGGAGGTTTTTTCATTGAATAACTTCTTAATAATACTCTACTTTTCTTTGGGCATTCATGCATCAGTAATTTTTCAAAGTTACTTTAAGTTCTCAAGAATTAATTACAGATGGATATTACTAAAACATTGATGATTCAAACACAATGCTCTTTTTTGTGGATAAGGCATTGTGTTGATTTACTCTTGTAGGCAGTATTTCAAAGGCTTAGTAAGCCCTAAAAGGAAATAAGCACAAACATTTTTATATAGCTGTAAGCCTTAGCAGCAGAGCAGGACGTTGTAAACGCGTTCTTGAATTAATTAAGTATATACTTTTTAACCTGCAGCACTTTGCTTCTTCATGGAATTTTTTAAGATGTCATCGTTTTTAAGATGGATAACATCGATACGGTATATCATGCAATTGCCGTTTTCAATGGAACCGACAGTATAGCTTGCGGCAAAGCCAGTGTTTGGTTAGGGGAGTTCCAGAAATCTGTAAGTTGTTACTTAGTTCCTTGTTTTGCTAATGTAAGCAAAG